TCTAGGGGTCAAACGGGTGTACCTAACGAACGGGTAATTTTCTTAACAAGCGGGTTAACAGGTACCCTTTAGCAACCCTATTAATTTTGTGTGCATTTCTCGCATAAAATCATGATATAAAATTTGTATATTATCAGATTGTATTTTGATGATTTTTAAATTTTTACCGCCCATGGCCGCACAAGTCCTTCGCTACAAAAAAATTAAAAATTAAAAGTTTTTAATTTTTTTATAGCCAAGGACTTGTGCGGCCGTGGGCGGTAAAAATTTAAAAATCATGACAGACTACAGAGGAGTTACGCCATTCTCATTGTATTTTGATGCCACATTATGATTCGCAATTGATTTTTGTCCCCTAATAACATTATGGCAATGAAGATCCAAATGAATGTCATCCGTACATGTGCCCATGCACACAACTTCACAGGCAGTTACGATCATACATGGTCCTAGTGCTACATGTACACTCATGTTTTTTGACTTTTTGATACAAGAACATGTACGCAAATCAACTGCAGCTTGGTGTGATTCAAGCCATGCAAGGACAGAATAGTTTAGCAAAAGTTCCGTGATCTCGCGCAATCCTATTTTGCTATGTTTGCAGAGAACTGGTACTCTTCGCATTCAGACAATGTTCGCACCCATAGCTGGGGTGCCTGATACAGCTGATGTGCTGCTGGCCAGCTAGCTGCTAGCAAGAGTACATAACCAAGAGAGTGCAACTCCTATCTCGAGCTGCGATGGGTTCACCCACGGCGGAATTTTTTATTGCGTCATTCTTTGGCTGAGGTATGATTAAGTGCGTATGCTTTCCGGCGCATGTTTTGTGGATACGGCGAGAGTTCATCGGGTTCAGGACACGTCGATCTATCCTCAGTGGTTCTGCTTCGACTACCGTAGCTGTGGTGTACAAATTCTTTGTACTTTGATCTCTGGCTACGCATGATGGCATCAGCAAGCCAAACAGCCGCCAAAGACTGATGTACAAATAACCTATGTGGAGATAATAATTTTAATGACATCAGTCTTTAATAAAGCTATGAATAGGATGAAGGCCGCAGACATCACACAACTATGTTACTTGTTTGACATGTATTACTGTGTATTTTGTAACAAAAATATTATTGAAAACCCAGAATCGATTTTCTCGTTCCTATCATCTGTGGGAAAAACGAAACTAAGGATACAACCAAAGAAACTGAAGTTAAGTACAGTAAATAGAAAGGTCTTAGAAATAACATCAAGATACAAGTGCAATAAAACCACTAGAGGAAACGCAAAAAAGGTAACAAGATTACATAACCAAAGGCGAGAAGGCACTGAACGAAGTGTCAACCTACGAATACAACTTCAGTGCAACAACGTGCTCTTTCTGCTTACACAAAACAGGCTAATGAATCCGTATACAAACTGCCTCAAGGACTTTCAACTGTTGGACATAACGCGCACGACACAGTACAGAAAAATGAGAGTCATCATACACACCAAGACAGTCAGGACGAGATAACAAGTGTAGATACACAGCTGACTTCTTACGATCAACACATTCATCCGCCTCATCTCGCTCCTTCCCACCCGACTCCTCCTCGTCCATCTCATCGTCCTCTTCCTCGTTCCGCTCGTCATCCTCACGATCATCATCACCACCACCATCTACTTCGTCCTCTGTCTCCTCACCAACCGTTTCGTCATCCAATTCCTCTTCCATCCTCTGATCATCCGTCTCATCCTCCGTTTCAGTACAGACCACTTGTCTCCCATTTGCTAGCTGCTCGTCCCGTGAGCAGAGCTGTTCCTCCAGATCCGCTTCACTCACTGACTCATGATACTGCTCGACCCTCCTCCTGTTGGTACTGTCCACAACGCGCGGTCCTTGGCCGTTTCTGGCATAGATCTCTGTGGAGTAGTTTGCTGTTGCCCTCCGAGGTCTCTGGATTAATGTGGGCGGCGTGGCAATTCGTGTGAGAGCTGGTGATGCCAGCGCGAGTGTAGGTGGGTCCACCCCAGCCCCCGCCACAAGAAGAGCCGGTGGCGGTTCTGGTGGTGGCAAGGGCGACGGTGGTGCTGCTAGAGTTGGCAACTTGGGCAGCCTAGCTCTCCCACACGGCTGCATTCTGTGTTGGCTCAGTCTTTACCACTGGCACAGGGGGTGGGTTCTTGCGCGGTCGGCCACGCTTCGGCCGCTTGGATTTAGCTGCATCCGGTAGAATATGCAGTGGTTCATGCTGTTTGATACATGCGGTCAGGTGTTGAAGGGTCCTACCAACACCTGAACTCCTACCACTCACGGGACGAGCAGCTAGCAAATGGGAGACAAGTGGTCTGTACTGAAACGGAGGATGAGACGGATGATCAGAGGATGGAAGAGGAATTGGATGACGAAACGGTTGGTGAGGAGACAGAGGACGAGGCAGATGATGGTGGTGATGATAATCGTGAGGATGACAAGCGGAACGAGGAAGAGGACGATGAGATGGACGAGGAGGAGTCGGGTAGGAAGGAGCGAGATGAGGCGGATGAATGTGTTGATCGTAAGAAGTCAGCTGTGTATCTACACTTGGTATCTCGTCCTGACTGTCTTGGTGTGTATACTGACTCTCATTTTTCTGTACTGTGTCGTGCGCGTTATGTCCAACAGTTGAAAGTCCTTGAGGCAGTTTGTATACGGATTCATACCGTATAGTCTCTATTATAAGCACAGGTCTCCATTACTAGCACAGTCTCTAATACTAGCACACTGTGAGCACCTTTCGAAACATTATAAGCACAGTCTCCATTATTAGCACGGTCTTGGTGGAAATCAATGCTGCATGCATGATATCTAGCATGTATTTCTTCTCGCTCTGTATGGATGCATTGGTTGAAAAAATATAAGCACGGTCTCCAATATAAGCGCGGTCTCCAATATAAGCACGGGGTAGAGGGGTGTTGAAAAAATATAAGCACGGCGCTTATAATAGAGAATATACGGTAAGCCTGTTTTATGTAAGCAGAAAGAGCACGTTGTTGCACTGAAGTTGTATTCGTAGGTTCACACTTCGTTCAGTGCCTTCTCGCCTTTGGTTATGTAATCTTGTTACCTTTTTTGCGTTTCCTCTAGTGGTTTTATTGCACTTGTATCTTGATGTTATTTCTAAGACCTTTCTATTTACAGTACTTAACTTCAGTTTCTTTGGTTGTATCCTTAGTTCCGTTTTTCCCACTGATGATAAGAACGAGAAAATCGATTCTGGGTTTTCAATAATATTTTTGTTATAAAATACACAGTAATACATGTCAAACAAGTAACGTAGTTGCGTGATGTCTGCGGCCTTCATCCTATTCATAGCTATATTAAAGACTGATGTCATTAAAAAAATTCCGCCGTGGGCTGGGGGATCTTGAGTTGCACACTCTTGGTTATGTACTCTTGCTGCTAGTGCTAGCTCGTGAAACTCGTAAAACGAATCTTCACAAATCCGTAATCTTGTATGCAATAGTTCGAACTACTTTTCAACTAAGCCAAGCTCGTCGATTGAAGGCACAAACTACAACCATGAGTATCATAGCTACCACCTACGGACATCACCGTGTGTTACACTCCGACCGGTCACTCAGCCTGGTGACACTACAAATAGTTCATCTTCAAGCACTGTGGCAGGTTCGATGTCGGAGAACCCCCGTAACTTACTTTCTAGTAACTCTGCTGCAGCAGCTTTCTTTATTTTATTTTCATTTTGTTTACAAACGGGTACCCTTTTCAGATGGGGAAGTATTCAAGAGAGGGCAGTATTCAAGAGAGGGCACTATTTTTTCATTGCTGGTACATTTGCGTCATCCAGCATAAAACAAAGAAAAACTGAGCCTAAAGTGTGCTGTAAACGCTCACGACTCCACAGAAACGGGAACAAGACCTGCGATTTTGTTCCACAAAACACCAGTGCAAAGCAATGGCCAAGAACATTAGCAAAAGAACACCAAACTTGCACATGGGCTTGGTTACAAGACCGGGGGGGGGGGGGCACTATTCAAGAGAGGGCTCTAATCGCGTGAGTACGGTATTCCCATACAAAGTTTATCTCTGTGACGTCACAGGGATGGGCAAATTATGACGTCATCAAGATGTCACAGAATTTGGCCAAAACTAGAAGATGCTATAACTCCGGAACGGTTGCTCCAATCAACGTGGGACTTTCACCATTGGAATCAGTGCATCGTTCGCTACAGGTTGTGAAGTTTTGATTTTAACCCCTTTAGCGCGAGCGTCGTACTGGTACGACGCACATGAGTTGCATGCCCCACGGCCGTGGCACTAGTACGACGCGCGCTGTACACTGTACAGTGAACCTGCATCTCATAGTCGTGGGGTCCGTGTTGAGTCCATAGCGACTTATTCAAACTCTAGTAACTCGCTCAATACTTGGTCGATTCTCACAATCGAAACCTGTATCTGCAAGACAAAACTCTCAGCTGGCCACAGAAATAATCGCCGAAGCGATGCGACTATCGGTTGTTGAGATATGCGACTCGACACGACAAATTTCAACTCGATTTTTTGGGCACTCTGCAGAACGCGTATTTTCCATCATGGATCATTTGTGCGCTACCTGCTGCCATGGAAACAAGATTCAAATGATGGTAGTGGATCCTGTGAGTCCTCACAAAAAATTTGAGCTCGATACGAGCAAGGAGACCGAAATGGCAGCTGAATATTTGAGCTCGGTTAGTCTTGGCGTGCTCAAGTCTGTCGAGCGCGTGGATGAAGTTTGCCAGACTGTAGCGCAGGGTTTGGGTTTCGCTCCAAGCTGGGTTTGACACCAGTTTGTCCCTCGTCTCAAGGCCTTTCCAGGAAGCTCAAGATCGTGGAATTCGTCCAAGGGAAGGTAAAGTTATCGACCCTAGAGCAGCTAGTACTTTCATGGGAAAATGCGACTTTAACAGGTGTTGACGTGGGGCGCGCTCAGGTAGCGTTGTGCTAAAGAGGTTTATTAATAATATAATAAATACCGATATGGACCTACCAGCAGAGGCCATGGTGGAACCTTGAGTAATGATGAACCTCAAAAATCGAGAAGAAACCTTGAAAAGGAGAGAACCACCTACACACTGGCACACACTGACACACACACACACATGCACAAAGCACCAAGCACAAACGCACACACACGCACAAACACGCACACACACGCACATGCACAAACACACGCACACACACGCACAACACATCATTGCACGAAATTTAGAACAGAACACAGAGCTATCCAACTGCAAATAGGATTCGAACCCAACACAAATGAACATCACAGTATTGAATGTTCTTCTGTGTTCAAGATTTTAGCCTATTGCTAGATCACAAAACAATGTACTTGAAGGATTTCCATTGATGGATTGATTGATAGATAGATTTTGATTGGAGTGGTGACCAAAGCCATTGGAGTGGTGACCAAAGCCCAATGGGTTTTGTGATTCTCCAAGAAAGTGCCGATGCCGTGCTATTCAACAGGAAACTCTACCGCATACATACACACGTGCACCACTCAGTGCCCTGACCCTACACATGCACTCATGCCTGCACCCCCCCCCCCTTGCACATGCACTCATGCGCCACCCCCCCCCCCCCCACACACACACACATGCACCCCCCCCCCCCTACACATACACTCATGTGCCCCCCCCCCCCCTCCTACAGATGCACTCCCCCCCCCCCCCCTACAGATGCACTCATGCGTGCCCCCCTACACATGCACCCCCCCCCCCCCGCACACACACACATGCACTCCCCCCCCCCCCCACACATGCACTCTCCCCTCCCCCCCCCCTTTAAGCGGGATTCACAGAAGCTTTTTTTGCGATGCGACACGCGATGCGAAAGCCGCGAAACCGGGAAATCCCCAAATCGCAGCCATCTCGCACTCCACGGAACTTCCGCAACTGGGCCATCGCAGAAGTTGAGCTTTGCTCAACTTTTGCGATGCGACAAGCAATTTGGCGTATGACTTTCTACAGCAAAGATGTACAAAGGTTCAAGAGTGGCCCATAAATTAGTACAAGTTGTACAAAACCGCGCGAATACCATGGTGACGTACCCACCCGCATTGAACTTCGCGCCAAATAAGCAAGGCGTTGTCGCATCACTGACTTCTTCTGGGAGTGTATTGCGCGAGTTCGCATCGCACGCATCCGTCGCAGATCACGTCGCATCGGGTTTCGCATCGCAAAGAAAGCATCTGTGAATCCCGCTTTACACATGCCTCTCCCCGCCCCCACCCACACACATCCACTCCCCCCTACACATCCACTCCCCCCTCCCCCATACACATCCACTCCCCCCTACACATCCACTCCCCCCTCCCCCATACACATCCACTCCCCCCTACACATCCCCCCCCCCCCTACACATCCACTCCCCCCTCCCCCATACACATCCACTCCCCCCTACACATCCCCCCCCCCCTACACACACACCCATCCACTCGCACGTGCACTCCTCCTCTACACATACACTGGCATGTGCGTTCCTCCCCTAGACATGTGCATGCACCCTCTCCCCTTCACCGTTCCCCACCCATACGCACACTAATGCGCATGTCGGTACACACACACACACACACACACACACACATACACACACACACACACACACACACACACACACACACACACACGTGTTCACACATATCCTCACACGTGTTCGTTTACGTACACACACACACACCATGTACCATGTATACGCCCGTCGCAAGAGAAGCACGCAAATTTGCAAATGCACTGAATGTGCACCCACAGATTTTCTCTTATAGCAACGATAGCGAACAAGATTTGAATGCCGTTTCGTTGTCCTGATACGAGTGGAGTATCAGCTTCGCAGTTGGCTTCCCGCTGCTCCGAAGTCGTGTGCTGGCTGGGAATGCGCCGCCTTTCTTCTCTCCATAACTCTCTTCTTTTCTTTGTTTCCCGGTGAGTGTTTATGTGTGTGCATGCGTGCGTGCATACGGGAGTTTGTTTGAATTGCTACTTGTCTTGGGAACTGGCATCTGATCATGGTGAACCACGGTTGGTTCTCCTTGTGGCAGTCCACATCGAAGGCAACGAACGTCCGATCAGGGTGAGCCCCGGTTCATTGCTGGGAGCTAGACTCGCTGCTTGTTTGTCGTTGCCATGTATATATTTTATTTATTTTTGATTTTTCGGTGACAGTCATGGGTTTGGCTGGCGTTGTGTGGATGGGCAGGGCTCATCGGTTTTTAGGCTTAGGTTTAGCCTGTGTTTTTTTGTGTGTGCGTGGCTAGACAGAAATGCAGTGTTTCTTCTCTTCTCTTTAACATTCACCTCTCTTTCTTTCTTCTGGCTTTGGTTGCCCTGTTTTATTCTGGGGAGCTACATGCGTTGGTCCTGTGGCTACTTTTGCTGTTTGCGGTTGTGTCTCTCTATGCGTTGGTCCTGTGGCTACTTTTGCTGTTTGCGGTTTCGTCTCTCTGCGTATTGTGTTTTATTTGGTCATACCGAGGACGGTATGTGTTTTTTTGGTCGGGATATTGTGGGAGATTTGGTGTCACGTGTTTGTTTCGTCTTGATCGCTGTGGACACGCGTCATTGGTTGGTGGTGTTGTGCGCATGCGCAAAACTGTGTGAGCTAGTCTTTGGTCTGTCGTCTTGTCAAGATGTAGTCGTTTTCCGTGTTCTTGGTTATTCGTCAATAAAAAGAGTGTAAAAAGGCGGTCCAGTGGTGGCGGTTGAGCTGATGCAGTGATGGAGAAGTAGTGTTTAGACCACAACTACAACATTGCCAGCGACATCTAGGAGGGCAATGCCGCGCCAGTTGTTGCAGTTGGTCAAGTCACCCTTTTTGGGAATCGGGACGAGTTGGGCATCCCGCCAATCCTGGGGAACCGTTCCATTCGTCCATGCAGTGTGAATAACATCAAGCAGAGCCTCAAGCAATGGTGTACCACCAGCTTTAAGCAGTTCAGGTGCAATTCCATATGAGCCAGGAGCCTTGCAATTAGCTAGCTGGCGCATAGCCATAGTGAGGTCCTCTAGCGAGGGAAGTTGGCCGAGTGACTCATCAACTTCACGCTGCTCAATGTGGTCAAAGATTGTAGCATCAAAGGTGCTGCGAATGTTCAATAGACGGGCAAAATGCTGCAGCCAGCATTTCTCTTGCCCCTCCTGGGAGCTACAGATAACTCCGTCACTGTCACGGATGGATGGGATGGAGATAGGTGATAATCCCGAATAGCACTTCTGTATATCACGGATTGCAGACCATGCGTGCTTGCCACTAAACCGACTTGACTCAACCACATTAGCTTTACGTCAAATCCACTCACTCTTTGCATTACGCACGGCAGCTCTGCACTTGCCACGAGCCTCGACAAAGCGACAGAACCAGAGGCGAGCCATTTGCGAAGTAAGGCATTGTGGCTATCCAGCATAGGTGCAAGAACATCAGCACACGCTTCAAACCAATCAGGCTGGTGACGATGTGGACGGCCAAGGTGCTTCTCAGCGCTGGTGAGGATAGCAGATTTGACAGCAGACCACTTGTCCTCAACGCAGCCGTCAGGATTCCAGGATCGTAACTCTGATGCAACAGACGTCGCATATTGCTCACGAGTTTTACAGGTTGCAGCTCTCTGCGCTTCCGTCATGCAGGAGTGTTTGACAAGTTGTTGCACATCAAACTTGACAAGTCCTTTTGCATGCTTGTGGCAAGCAGATGAGCGGATGCGGTATGTGAGACACACAAGGTTGTGATCTGTACTGCACTCAGCTCCCCTGGTGACATGGCAATCCGTGCAGTTGGACAGGTCTTGTTCCCGGACCATTGCATAGTCGATGCAGTGCCAACGCTTCGAGCGGGGATGTTGCCAGGTACACTTGTGGATGTTACGTTTCATGAACCAGGTGTGGCACACAGTAAGGCTGTTGCACGCTAAAAACTGGAGAAGCTCAGCGCCAGCTTCATTGACAGTGCCAACACCATGTGGGCCACGTGTTCCATACCAGCCATCGTCACAGATTTGAGCTCCAACTATAGCGTTGAAGTCTCCCAAGATTATCAAGGAGTCCTGGGTGGGTACGGACAGAATAACTTCCTGAAGAGAGTCAAAGAAGTCGTTCTTTGCATCCCGACTGGACCGGAAAGTCGGTGCGTAGCACACCACGACGTGGACCCAAATGTCACCGAACTTTAGCTTGCAGCGTGCGACACGCAATGAGACAGCAGACCACTGACTTCCCCTGCTACGAACGCTTGCTGAGCGCGTCCGCGTAGTACGACTCCAACTCCTGCGCCTCGTTTGAAATCGTCCGTTGCGATGGCGCGACCTGACGTGAGAACAATTGCATCCTCGACACGGAATATATCTTTACCAAACCAATTTGATTCCTGGAATCCAGCCACTTCTATTTCGTACCGACGAAGTTCACTGACAGCGATGTTGATTTTCTTGTCTTCCACGACGCGCTTTCCACGAGCAGCAGCTGAAAGGGGGCAATCGATGTTCACTAAAGTCCTGACGTTCCACGATGCAAATTTGACAAGAGCACCAGCTGGGCGCCTCCGACGGGTGCCTCCAAACTCTGGCTGCTTTGAAGCTGAAACTCTACACATCCAAGGGGTAGCTGGCCCACTGCGGATGGAGGACTACGGACAACGCTACATTGACAATATCAAATTCAAATAATTGGCCTGTAAGTCACGTCGTTGGATCTGCTGCCAGGAATTCAAAAGGTCTACACTTGACACGCCAGGGGCTCCCCTAGCAAGCTAGGAGAGCCCTGAGTGTACCTACTCTGCTTCGGAGACTCTAACTAGTCTCAGCAAATAGAAAAATTCCCGAGCTAGAAAAATTTTAAACTGTCCTCCAAGAATACAGCTCACACCCCCACACACACACCCACACACCCACCCACACACACACACACACACACACAAACACACACCCACCCACACCCACACCCACACCCACACCCACACCCACACCCACACCCACACCCACACCCACACCCACACCCACACCCACACACACACCCACACACACCCACACACCCACTCACACACCCACACACACACCCACACCCACACCCCC